TTCCAAATGCTCTTCCTTCTTGTGGTGTCTCCCAGCTGTCTTCTCCCTGTGTCTCACTCCACCTCTTCTTGAAGAATTGTGCAAATTAAAGATGTAGGACACTGGAGTGTACTTAGGCCAACAAGCTTACAAGAAAAACGAGAATGTATTGTCCTTTTTTGCAACATTTGAAACAACTGGGACAGAAAAAAAATAAGTGTTGGGACTTCAACAGCTTTTCTCAGGAATTGCTCACTTGGGCAACTCCAGTAAGTGTTACTCAGCCTGCTAAAGAAATAAATAACTTCATCTCTTCAGCAGGCTTGGCCTTTACTGTATCTTGTGGATGTTTTCCCTCCATTTAAGCCTCTTCCATAAGTGGCCTCCTGATAATGGCAAAGTGACTGAGTTTGCAGTGACACAAGTAAGGCAGTGTCAGCTTTAAGCTTGTAATTTTGCTGTCCTTCTGCTGGAAACACGAGTGCTTGCAGGAGGAGGTTTATTTCCTCCTTTTCCCAGCCCATTGCCCTTCAGGCAAGACCCCTGACACTTACCTTGTTCCTTGTGGAGAGACTCCAGACCATACTGGGGAGCTTTTTATAGCTTTAAACTCTTCCAGCACATCAGAAAAATCCTATCCCCTTTCAACTATTTCTTACCTTATTTCTAACCAGAGTAGATTTATTGTTTCCAGTTTCTGGGAGAGGGAATATGTGAATGATATTCTGGATCACAGGGTGAGTAGAAAATGCTGATGATTCCTTAGCTCAGCCTTAAGACAGACGAAACTGCAAGAATTGTTTATGTCATTTTGTTGTTGTTGTTGCTGGTCATGGCATTTCAAACATTCAAAATCCAGCATAAACAGGGCTTTCCAGCAATTGGATTCTTTTAATGATGGAGGGCAACATTTTTAAACCTAGGTTGCAGCCCTGACTGTTGTCTTGGCTACTGGTAGCTTTTGAGGTGAGGGCAACAAAAAAGTTTAACTTCACTTCACTTGAACTGCCTGTTGTTGAAAATCACCTGCAGTTTAGGAGCCCCCAGGGGCAGATGTTATGTGGGCAGGTAGGACTTGGAAATAATGTGAGATAAGAGGAAGCCAAAGAGACTTGTGGGCAAAGGTGCTGGGAGGTGACAGACTAAACCTCAAAGACCTGCTTGTATGAGTCCTGCTGCTACTGGCAGAATTTTGGGTATGTTATAAATCTGGCAATTTTAAGTTTAAAAGTGAACAAAAAGGAAAGCTGAAACAATAATATGAATTGTTACAATTACATTTATTAGGTCTTAAAGTCCAGAAGTTAATGTTCTTGCTAACCTAGTGAGAAGACAGAATCAAGAGTCTGAGTTAATGAATGTAATTGAAAGGATTAATCTGAGGTTCAGATCCCTGTGTATTAGGGATTGAACTTGTTTTAACATCAGTAAACAGGTATGTTGATAAAGAGTTTATTAATTTTTGGAAGATGAAACCACATCATATGTCTCTTTTTCTGAGCTTTCCATTGTGTAATGTTGAAACAGTCTTATTTAGGATGTTAGGAGGGATGGGTGCTCAATATTAAATTGTGCTCAATACTAAATTGTGGAGATATGAGTAAGTGGGGTGTTTTTGGATATAAGCCACTAAATCTCTCCTGTAAGAGAGATTTACAATCTCTCATTGTAAGAGAAACTCCAGCAGCTGCTGGGATGAAAGCTGGAGCAGGTGGCTGCCCTGTTCTAGACAAGCACCTAAGGATGGAGCTTTTGATCTGGCCTCTCTTCCCAAAAAGTAGGTGTCAAATTCTGCAATGGAGAAGAGCTGTGATGTCTTCAGGATGAGATGGAGATGATGAGCTCTTAGGATAGAAGCATTCCAGCCTCATCCTGCCAGCAGCTGTTGTTGCACGTGCAGCATGCCAGGAGGGGGGCACTTTGGTGCCAGGCTGGTTTGCAGGAGGATGTAGGAAAAGGAGGGCTGGGTAGGTTGATGACTGTGCTGGTGAAGCTTTGACCCAGCTAAATGGGGTAAGGGTTCCTCCAAAAGAACCTGTAAAACCAGAAGCCTCTATCAGCCAGAAGAAAGGCTGGCCCTTCCCCAGTTTCACTGCCTGTGGTGGTTTACCCCTGTGAGGTTTCTGGGAGGGCTGCACATTTAATTCCCAGTAATGCTTTGTACAATGCTTCTGGAAAGTTAAAAGAGTTAGAGATGCCTTGAACCTGATAGTTATAGTGTAAAAGTGGTTAGTAGGAGGTGGCAGGGTGACAGAGATGGTGTCCATGCCTGGTATGTAACAGGGAGAAAAGAGTTAATGGTGTTGGAAGTGATAGCCAGGCAAGGCTGGGACCTTGAAACAGGGGGAAGAGGACACAGAGCTGCTGGTTTTCATGACTTCATTCCCCTTTGGCTTCTTGAAAACTACATGCAGAAGCTAGGACCATTTTAAGAGAAGCAAGAATGTTAAGGAGATAGAAGGTTAATATGCTTCAGTTTTGTCATTTGGTGTTTTTCCTACATTATTCTACTTCTCGGAAAGTAGCATCTTTTGTCTTAAATTTATGCTGATGCCAAGTAAAGTGTGGCAACTAAAGATTTTACTAAATATCCAAAACATTATTGCAGTGTACAATAATTAAACTCCTAGCTAAAATAACTTGTAGTGCTTGGATGGCAGAGACTGTTAAACTTGTTACATAATGCACAAGGTTTAAAAATACATAAAATAATTTTAAAAACCCGCCCCAAAGCTAAAGCCCAGAAATCTGAATCTAAGTAGGCCTTTCAGAAACCACCAAGTAATTGTGAATAAATAACAGAATTGCACGCATATATTAAGGCCAAATAAAATTTCAAATGCCTCTTAGGTTTAATTGTGCTGGTTTTAAAAGCTCAGCGGGGAAAAAGTTAAGACTGCTTGAGCTGCCCCCCTCTGACAGAGGAGGGGAAAACAAAGAAAACAAGACTGTGAGAGGTTAAAGATGTTAGAGTCAAAATTTTACTGAGGTAGAAAAAAACTTGCAAATATCAGAACAATACAGAGAAAAATGGTTTGCCCACAAAACCAACAAAGGCAAAATGTTACCTAACCCTCCAGCCCTAGAGCAGGCATGATGTAGATGGTTAATAAAACACAATAAAATTTTTCTTCACTATGACATCCTTGATTTCTTGTTTTCAGATTCCTAAATAGAAGGAAGAGGGGTGTGTGACCTTCTAGTTCATTTTAATGACTGTTTTCTTTGGAAGTTCTGTAGCTAAAAATGTGACGTGCTTTGATTGTCGCAAAACCTGTAAAATTGTAATTATACCTTTATTATCTTTGATTAAATGGCAAAAGGTTCAAATGCATTTTCATTCCAATCACCACATTGTTTGTGGTTGCATTTGTTGCTCTAGGGCTAAAAAAGAAAATATTATGCAAATGAAACTCTCTATCCACCCAGCACAGTATTAAATCTATCTGAAAACATCTGGTATTAATCTTGTTTATATGTGTGTCACTGATCTAACTAGAGCTGCTGTGGATTTTGAGAAGCAGGCAATGACCTAAGATTTAAAGCTTGCTTAATTCTTTTTCTTTTCTTCTTTTCATGGTGACCAAATGCCTCTGAGAAATCAAGGGAACGCAGAGTAAACAGGCAATCGTAGGTTTGAATGTTGTTCTTTGTTTTTCTGGTTATTAAACAGTCAAGTTGCTTATTAAAAATTCCTTTTGAGTCAAATCTAGAACAAATGGCTTTTGAAATGATTTCTGCACAGACGAGTCTCTTGGAACCATCCCACCTTCATGCAAAAAATATGCCAATAATGCCAAACAATATTCTTGAAAGCCCATGGCTTCCTCGAAGCTCTCTGAAAAAGAATAAAGCTTTTAAATTGTGTAATTTTATTTTATTTGGCCTGATTGCTTCTGGTTTTGTTTGATAAGGACCTGGCATAAAGCAGCAGTTAAAACTGTCCCAGTGTTGGAAGTTTACTGTTGACTTTCTCCACTGAGTAAAACCTCTGTGTTATCCTTGGAGAAGTTACTAATGAAGCACTTTGTGTAGTTAAATCCTGTAACTCTTTATTCACCTTGAAATCTGATTAAAGAAGAAAAAGCATGAATCACAAGATGAATATCAGTTCATGTTTTGAGTTTGCAATCATCATCTTTGCTTGTTAACAGCTCATAAAGACAGAGGAGCCAGAAGAAATGAGCTGGCTCTGGAAATGCTGGTACCTAATACGTGAAAATGTTACTGTTTCCAGGAAGTTTCTGTCTGAAAAAATGGTAATATAAATTAATTTCAATTCAGATTATGTAGTTCCTGTCAATATAGGAAAAATTCTTTTAAAAAAAGTCCTTGAAGTCTGACATGGAATATAACTGCCTGATTTTATTTTAGGAATCTGTGGGGTTTTTTTTTCTGCCAGCTTACAAATACTTTTACTGATCTTTATTCTCAAACCTTTCTGGAGCTACCAGCTTTGCATTTTGGGAATAGTGTAATATTTCAGATTCTTCTGAAGTATTCTGTTTGGAATTTACTCACCTGTCAATCTTCAGTTATTGGGCTGAATTGTTATATAATTCTTGACAAATGTCAAGATGCAGATCTGAGGGAAGTGGTGTGTCCTTTCAACACTTAAAAAAACCATAATTATTCTCTGCACAACTGCAAAGTAACAGTGCAGGCCATAATTCTCCTGTTTTCAGAGGCAGGGCAATTATGACCAGTGAGCAGCCCCACAGAGCAATATTGCTGCTAAACAATATTCTTTGGCCCAACTTCAAGGTCTTCGTAATTTGTTAAAAATGTTTTTATCCTTTAGTGGGTTTTCTTCCAACAATCCTTAGATATGTTGGAAATTTCTGCCATTGAGTTTAGCTTCACAATTGCATGTCAGCATTGGCTCAGCTGCACTCCTGCTACAACACTCCCTAATATAATTTTAGCTCTATGTGGAAGGTGAAAGATTTTATGGCATTCATTGAATGTCAGTTGTTCTAGAGCTGAAAGGTCACACAGAGTGTAACAACCCTCTGTGCAGCAGCAGGCAGGACATGGACTTGTTTAGTTAATGGTGATTGTGGTCAGCTCTTCTTTTTCATGTGTGAGTAAATGATTGGTCATAGGAAAGAGCTGGGAATTTACTTCCATTTACTACAGGTAGGAGAAAACTAAATGTTATTTAAAAGTAGATCTGATGATCTGAATGTCTCTGTGTGACAACTGATATGCGTTTTACATAACGTGGTGGTTTTGGGCATATGTAAAATATGTATTTGATAAGAATTTTCTGAAAGTAAATATTTAGCCAACTTCTGAGTTTAGAAATTTTGCATCTTAAATTTTAAAATTCCCTTCTGGGACGTTTTAGAAAGAAGTTACAGCTAAATTTATTTCTCGGTGACGGTTCTTGCCCTTCTTGGGTTTTCCTTTTTTCCCCACCTCCCCCGTCCCCCAGCTCTTTCTTGATGGGATGACCTGATATGTTCCTTGTGAAGTTTACAAAACGGGAATGAGCAGCTTGTAACCATTTACCAAAACTTGTATTTCTGACTGCAGTAACTTTCAGAAGCTGACTTTTCTTCTGGCTTGTTTATTTTTATTTTACTCTTCAGAAGTCTGGAGCTAAGTGCAACATATCAGCAATATTCTGTTTCCAGCTGTTGTTTCAGGCAGTGTGACAAAGGAAGGGCCACAGTACCAATATTTACCCTCTTAATGTGCTTTTTCCCAAATACTGCCTAAAGATTGTGTTTATCTTTCGTGTTGATGCACATGAAGGAAAGGAAAAGAGCAAACAAAATGTAAGCAGCTCCTGGGTAAGTGCTCTTACCCGGTTATTAAAACCAAACAAAACAAACCAACATTTGAATTTGCAGTTGCAGAGCCAGGAGGTAGTTTCTGAGGAGTAATGGGGGTTATGTGAGGCAGACAAGGATCTACCTGAGCCTCAGATGGGTTAATCCTGGTTTTTCAAGGGTCTCCCTAGCAGTTAGGGTCTTGAGGGGAAACCGTGTGAGGACACTGAGGGCACTTGGTGTGTTCAGCTGGAGCAGAGGAGACTGAGGGGAGACCTCAGTGCAGTTCCAACTGCCTGGGCAGGGGCAGAGGAGGGGCAGGGACTGAGCTCTGCTCTGGGGGGACCAGGGACAGCAGCCAGGGAATGGCTGGAGCTGTGCCAGGGCAGGGTCAGGTTGGATCTCAGGCAAAGGTTCTTCCCCCAGAGGCTGGTTGGGCACTGCCCAGGCTCCCCAGGGCAGTGGGCACAGCCCCAAGGCTGCCAGAGCTGCAGGAGGGTTTGGATGATCCTCTGGGGCACAGGGGGTGACTCTCAGGGATGGTCCTGTGCAGGGCCAGGAGTTGGACTGGATGTTCCTTGTGGGTCCCTTCCAAGTCATATTCTGTGATTCTGTGATGGAGGTTTATACACCAAGATAGGTGTGCATCTTTCCTGTTGCCTTCCTTCTGTACCCACACATGCTCTGTAATCACAGCATTATGGGTGTGGGTTTGGCAGACATTAATGCCCACCCTAGTGTGCCATTAGATCACTTGCTTTATTCTCTGGGCATATGTCTTATGACCCATGCTAGAATTTGACCTTTCTGTATTACTACTGTTTTTAAACATTGCATTATTTGTTGGTTTAAAAAATATCATTATTTTTTAAACATTTTATACTGTCAGCTTCTTGATGCAAAAGAGAGGCTCAGCTAGGCACAGCTTTCAGTAGCTTTCAGCTGCTTTGTTACAACTTGAGCTTTCAGAATCTCCTTCCTTGGCCTCTTCTGACCTGTGAGGAGCATTTGGGCCTCCCACTGCTGTCCTGTAAAACTCTCACATTACAAATACTTCCTGGGTGAGTATTCAGTTTGATTCAGCCTTCAGTGGAGTTGTGGTAAGGCTGATAAATAGGGATTTTGGGGACATTTACTTTTCAGCGGTGTCCAGAATCAAAAGAGAAATTTCATGCTTCTCGTCACTAATATAATAATATAATCCTGTTCTTTTTACAGGCACTCAGGAGGAAAAGATAAATATGAATGTTAAGTACATGAGTCAGTAGAATAAGGGTGGTCTGGAGGGGCACTGTGTTTGCCTTTCACTGTCCCAGTGCTGTGTATATGGAATAGGCCCTTTCTGTGAAGCTACCTGGCCACTCTTACATAGCAAGACTTGCACATCTCAGCCATACAGCCCCTCCAGGAGGCTGATATCACCTACCAATATGGGTCTAACAGTGCTGAAGGTGACAAAGTGCTTTTTCATGTAACATCAGTCAGAAGTTTAACCTCTGGTTCAGTAGCAGTGATCTCTCAGAAGGGTCATGATGGACAACTGGGCAATAACACAGCTTTGTACTTCACATCTGAGTGACACTGCTGCTTGCACTTGCCATTCCAGTGTGCACTTCTATGTACATCAACACAACCTTATGATGCAATGTTGCTTCTGTAAAAAGTCTGTAACCAAGCCCCCTTAGGCAAGGTAAATCTATTTAGTTCCCTGAAATTGTGATTGAACTTTAATTTCCTAGTTTGTGGATTTTTTTTTTTTTTATTATTTGTTTTGGTTTTGGTTTTATTTTTTTTTTCCTCCTGTGTGAAATCTCAAGTGAGAGCTGCAGCTAAGTCTTAATTAATAATTATCTTAATGTTATGGGAAATGGATTCCATCTCACTTTCCCAAACACGTGGTGCCTCTGTGATAGATAACACAGTGTGGGACAACTGAGCAGGACCAGACCAAGCCCAGGCTCAGATCCTTTCTCTAACAGTAACCAGAAGTGGGCACCTCAGGAAGAGCCTAAGAAAAACCCTTAAAATGCTCTCCCTCCTGTCTCCCTGCTTCCTCTCCTCTTCCTCACACATCCAACCACTTTTTACTTTCTGACCCTTGAGTAAATTTTTTCCAAGTGTGAAGAAGCTCCTCCATGTTTTGTAACCCTCTTGTACAGAACTTGGCTCCTTCACCTCAAAATCCTCTAAACTGCATCCAGAACATCCTAGAGCAAATGGACTTTTGAGTGACAGAAGCTAAAGCAGCATGACAGTGGATTTTTGGAAGATGATTTGCTAAAAGTAGAATTGCATTATGCCAGAACTTCCCTTATAAGGTGATAATGGAAATTAATTCAGTCCTCTAATCTTGGATACAATTTGGCCTTAAGAAAAGAAAGTGAGAATAAAAATAATGATAAAAAGCTCCTTCTGCAGTCCACTTGAGTTATTTTTTTAAACATAGTTACAGTAAGTATTAACAGGTTGGACACAACTTAAGAGGTATACAATTAAAACCAATGTGGATGTGTTGTCATCCATATACATATGGATATACATATAACCAATTGAATTACTGAGAAATAAATCAGAATTCCAGAGGGTATTCTTGGGCATGTATAAAAGCTACTTTGACCCACATTTGGTGCAGTGCCCAATTACTGTAACACAAAGTTAGTCCCAAATCAGCTGCACAAGGTGTGAATGCTGCTAGGGTTTAGGATGAGAGCTCTTGGATTAATTGAATGTGTAAAGATAGGAATTCAACCCGTGTCTCAACTCAAAGGGGTGGACAGAAGCTGAACCTAAATGTAGGTATGACAAAGGCAAGTTTGAGAGGGCCGTGGCAGCTTGGAATTGCAGCCATCTAGCATGCAAATACCTGCTTGGGAAAGGTTGGAGGTAATTTTGTTATACATGTAGAATTGTACATTATTTCCTGGCACCAGTAATACCTGAGTCTGTGCAGCTTGAACAGCTGTGCTCAGCCTACAAATTTGCTGCAGGGGGAACAAGAGAAAAAGGAAGATGTAGTGATAAAGAGAAGAATTAAAATGCAAAAAGCATTGATTATCTCTCCAAACAGATAAATATCTTTTCTGTGTTAGGCTTTTCACTTTATTTTGGGCAAATTGTCCTCTGTTGTTAAAAATATTTCTTTTTAGCATTAACTTTCCCAATATTTATAGTACATTAAAAAAGACACCTCCTTCTTCACTTTGGTACAGCTTAAGCAAATGAAAGGTAACTAATTTCTTGCTTTGTTACAATACAGACGGGTAGATTAATAGTTTGATCTGGTAGTTCTGACAGAATATGGTTTTTTTTGTCACTTGAGTTTCAGCATTTGATTGTAACACTGAGGACCACAACACTATCTTATTTTTCAAGGAGCTCTTCTGAGTTTTTCAAATCCCGTAAATACCTATCAAATGTTCCCATAATGAAAACAGACTGCAATACCCTCTTCAGCACAAAATGCCATTATGTGGTGTAATGTTGGAATTTTCTCCACTGAAGAGTGCTTCTGTGCTTTGCTACATTCCGTTAAGTAATTGACTTCAGGGTCTGTCACTCTGTTTTCTGTTACTTCCACTAATGTGGGTAATCAGCAGCTTTTCCCACTGCCAGTTTTCCCAGTGACTGCATGTGATGAAGCCAACCTTTTTTGTTAGCCAAAGGGGGGAAATCCAGCTCAGGTGATGAGCACTGGTTTCGTATGGAAAACTTGCAGCTAAATTCATAACGGATGAAAATGTGTACAGAGGTTTGAAAAAGGCAAGACGTCATATTTATGTTCTCCTTCCTCTATTTTCTCTTCTACCGGGATATTTTTTCCTTTATTTGCCTGGTTAACCAGATTTGTACTTGAGTAACTGAGCATTATATGTACAAAGCGCAATTTTTCTTGCTAAAATTCATTGAACATAACTACAAATGGAACAGATTTTTCTCAGGTTTTATCTCCAGGTAGAGAGACTTTGCAAAAACCCAAACAAGCAATAATAGTCCATTGTGTCAGTGCAGACAGAGTCTGATGTCTGATCTCCGTGCATTGTCAGCTGTCCATATGGGTTTTCATAAGCTGTTTTAAATGAGGAGTTGCTAATTCTCAGGTGTCTTGCAGTACCATTTATCCTAGTAGAGTAGAGCTGAAATTACCAGCAATGGGAGGAATTATGCTGTGGAATTCCCTGATGAAATAAAATTTGATGTGTGTTTTTGAGGATCTTCTAATATATTAAGGAAAAGTCATGTGGTGTGTCAACTTCCCACCCCATACTCCTTCTTTTCTTTTTATGCACTGATTGCTGCCTCAGAACACATTTATCTTACCTCTCTGTTGGACAACTAACTCTTGTTTTTGCTAACCTCTGCTGGTAAAAATCCTCCTTTGTGTGTCTCTCTGTGGGACTGCTCATGTTTGTAGCTTATCCTTCTGCTGTGTTCTGTTTATTGTGTTTCATTTGAGCCTTACATAGCGTGTCTGAAATCAGGTTGGACATGGCTGCTTGTAACTCCTCTAGTCAGGGGCTTCTAAGCCTTCCTCTGCATTGCCTTAAATAATTTAAAATGTTATCTTTCTCACAGGTCTCTAGCCCTGAGCAACTGAGCCTCGTTGTGTTTAAACACACATATAAATTACCTGTTAGCTGAGCTGGGGTTTTGATAACCTGAAAAATGACATGCTGCTCTTGGAGCTCGCACTGCAGAGCCTACACTCCATAGCCATGGGCTGTAACAATTCACAGCACAAGGGGATTGGCACAGTACAGGATCTGCAACATGTGCACGCAGTTGAGTGAGTTACAGCAGCACTAGCTTTTTGCCCTGAGCAGTGCTGTCTTCTGTGTACTCGAGGTCAAGTCCTACATATGTCACTATCCTTTCCTTGGAATACAAAAATAAGCGTGATTGTAGTGGCTCAGACCAAAAGTCTGCCTCTGATGGTGGCCAGGAATAACTGGGAACTTGCAGACTTTAAGGATTATGGGAACCGTTGAGTTCCTGCTGGCCAGGTGCCACATTCTTTGGTGCAAGGAGAATCTCTCACTTTTGAGGGGACTGAGTTTTTCTGTGTATTTGTTTTTGAGTCTAAAAGGAGTTGAGAAATATCCAAAATTAGGAGAGCAGAGGAGTCGCTCACCTACAAAATCCATGTCAGCTTTCTCACAAGAGTACTTCCTTTAATCTCACGAATCTTGTCTTTGCATACATGCCCTGCTCTGTGTCACAGGTGTCTTGGGCTTCAAATTGTTAAAAGAAGTAAGTTACTGCATATACATAAGACTAAAAACTGAGATGGTCTCCCATACCCCATGGGACAAAAATAAAGAATGTGCCCCCTCAACCCCACACCTTTCTCAGAAGAATGTTCCTTGTCACAAATGAGAGTGGAACAAGCCCTCCTGCCCATATGTTCTGTAGGAGGTTGGTGTCACTGCTGATTTACTTCTTTGCCGAGTGGCCCCCAAGTGCTTTCACACCAGTAGCTTTTCTGTACCCATTCAATGTCTCATCCTCAAGAGTGAGAAGTAGAGCAGCCTATTTATAGTCACTTCACACCCCCGAGGTTTGGAGAGAATCTTATTTCCTTGATTTCACTTGGCTTTGTGCCAAGAGGATGGGTTGCCATTAGATGTTATACACATCAGTGCATCTGATGCATGATAGGTGCTCTATGTATATGGATTAATTTTGTTTAAATTTTGAACTTCTCTAAGCCTTATAGGCCTTATAAATTAGTATCCTTGGGCCAAAGTTGAATCTGCAGCTGAAATTCATTAGTGGAGCTGCGCTGGCATGAATAAACCCAGCAAACCTTTGATCGTGGAGTGTTTTAGAAGTCTGTGATTGAACTACAGTCAAAATATTATTTTAAATACTACTGAAAGTGTAGCAAGAATGACCATGGCTGTGCTTGTTATGGTAAAACAGAACGTGTCACAAACACAGCTCAGTCAAAATTTAGGCACACAGTGACGTGCTTTCACTCCATCTTCCTCGGGAGACCGCAGTTTGGCCCTCCTGGTCTTCTTCCTTTGAAGTGACAATCATTTTTTGGTATCCATTTCTTCAGGATATTTTTGTTGCTTTTATTTTTTGAAGACCTGGTTGTGAGACAGTGTTTCTTGTCTGTTAATGAGGGAATGAAGGAACCCTGAGCACCCTCCCCTCTTCAGGCAATGTGGGAGGACTCTTTGGGAGTTGCAGTTTTGTAAAGTTGATTTAACCAGCAAACTCACTCTGGGGCCAGATAAGAGGAATTTTGTGGTTTCATTTCAGTTCAGTGCTTTTGGGAAAACAGCATTTCAAATTATGCTGAGAAGGATGAATGTGTCCACAGACAAGTATCGTATTACGTGTCACTCTTTTTTTGTAGCTCATAAAAGTGTGTGTGTACTTCTACAGAGAAAAACTGAATAATTCTGTAAACTACTCTTTTTTGTAAAGAATTTAGTCAGGATTTGACCTTATGTCTACTTTTGGTCTTCTTGATGTGGATCACTTTTTTTGAACGCTATACTGTGGAATTTGTTATAAGAATAAAGCTGCGTGAAAGGCTTGGTAGAATCTGTGGCAAAAGGGCTTATGGTTTTGTTTTAGGTTGTTTCTTTTAAAAATAAAACCAGTTTAGTATCAGTAATGTAAAATATCTCTATTTGATATTTTTGTCTCCTACTTTATTTTATAACCAAAAAAAGAAAGAAACATTTGTCTTATTCGTGGCCCCTTGTTCCCTGGGCATCCTTAGAACAGAGCTTATCTTGGGTTATCCCAAAGTAAAGAATACTGGAGTAGCAGGGACTAGACATCGTTATCAATAGATAAATGCTAGCCAAATTGCATTATTTTAAAGAGCAGGTCATCTTGAAGTGGGTCTTTGTGTGGGAATTGATCTTTCACATGTGGTTCTTGATACGACCTCAAAGTGAAATTCCTGGTTTCTTCCATCATCTCATATGCATGATGCCAAACTCTGGGGTCTGTTTTGATTTACAAGATGCTAATAGTAAAGCAGTTCAACTCTTCTCTTGCAAGTGATGATTGTGGTAAAACTAGGACTGTATTAAAAAATCCATATAAATTAACTTGATATCTTTAAAAAGTATTTGCTGCTTTCAACTTTTGAATTTTTTCAAGTCTTCATCTGTCCATTAAGACTTACTGGGTTTTTTTGGTGTTTATTTGAATTTTTCCATTTCCTATTTTTTCCTTCAGGGCTAGTAATAAAACTAAGTTGTTTTTACAGTATAAGGTTGGGTTCTTATCGTGGTTTTATATCATGTAACTCTAATCCATCCTGTTGATAAAAGTAACTACCTTTAGCCACAGCACACTGCAGTATTGCTTTTAAGCAAGTCAACTATTAAATTGATAATGCTATGGCAGAAGAGGATGTATGAGGCAACAAATCTCTCCCTGTTTCATAAACAATGGAGACCTGTAACTCATCTGTTTTTGCCTTGGGAAGACATTTACTCATCTGTGGTACAACAGCTTCTTTGGGGACACTCTACGATGACTAAAGGAAATAATTTGTAAAGAATTCTTTGGGCTTACTTTTTATTTAACTCTGACATAGGGAGGGAAGTGCAGGCAGAACAGTGCAGCAAAAAGGCTTGAACTGCAGATGCCCTCTGAGTATCTGACTGCAGGTTTAGAAGAGTTCTTTGTAGGAGAGGGAGGGGAACCTGGTGGAGTGTTCAGTGTCCCTCCTGGCTAAAACTCTGAGTTTCAGATACAGCTGGCAGTAACTGCTTTATTTGATTTAGATATAAAGAAGCAGGCAATTTGTACAGAAAACAAACTGTAAAACTGCACCATGGAATAAATTTTATTCTTAAATAATTTATATTTATGCGTGTTATCTTTTTCTTTTTGTTTTCTTTTAAATGCAGCCAGCTGAAGACAGATGTTTTCTGAGCTGAAGAAGATGAACTTTTGTATTGCAGCTTGCAAGAATTGATTATACACAGGTAACACCAAGATGGCCACGACCCACTGCTGCAGTGTGAAGAGTGGATCTGTTCCATCGTTTCAGGGACATCCATACACTGCTAAATTAGTGCAAACTTAGCAGAGGCAAAAAACACCAGCCTGGTCTGGGCTTTGCTTTATATATCAAAGGCCTGATGCGTGCACAAATAGCTCACTGGGTTGTTCTTGCAGTGCTAAACTTTCTTATCTCCCTTCCCCCCAGGCCTGTGGGGAAAAAAAATGCTTCTAAGTTTTGAACAACATTCTGTTATCTTCTTAGAGAGAATTCCATTTCTTTCAGCGGACAGAAAACAATCCAAAGGAAACACAGGGCATGAAAATTCCCACACTGAAGCAACATTTCCCAGCTGCAAGTTTGGTCTTTGACTGAAAACAATTCTAAAACCAACTTTTCTCCTTGTCAAGCTTCTGTTTTCAACCTCTTCCTCCCCATACAGCTGCAAACTCCTTGTGCCTTAGCCACACATCTCCTAGTGTTTAGTGTTCTCCAGATCAATAAGGGACGTGTAGAAACTTGCAGTTCATTAAATTAAGTGGGTCAGAAGGATTGGTCTTTGTGGTTTCATATTGGAATTTTTCAGAGCAAGATAAATTACACGGGGAGGAGATGAATATTTTACAGCATTAGATTGGAGAGGTGGAGGTTGGCCAGCTAGCAGAGGAAGGAGCTGTGTGCTTGGTCAGGACCAGTGGCCTTTCCTGGGTTCCCATCTCACTGGGATATAATTGAGGATTTAAAAATATGTGCATTTTTAAATATGGATTTTTAAATATGTGCATTTTTAAATATGTGCATTTTTAAATATGTGCATTGCCATCCTGGACTTGTCACCAGAGGTGGCACTGCTGTCCCATTCCCAGTGGCCTAAATGGGAATTTGGAAATGTTGTAGCAGAAATTGTTCAACACTCCAAATGTGTGCTTCAGCTATGATGGAAGATAAATCATTAAACCACATACTTGTTGACCACCAGCACATTTCATCCACTAGAGGCTATTCATACAAGCAGTGGTTTTAGCACTTAGGTTTGCAAACTTTCTTCTATACCTGCAGCTTCCTGAGGTATCTGAGTTGGGGGTTTATAACTGTGTTAAAGTACCTGTGTCTGAATGTCCTAACTCATTCCTTGCAGTCTGACTTCTGGAGTCAGCAGACATATCAGTACCACTCAATGTAGCAGCTGAAAGACTTTGAAGCTTAAAAAAAATGTCTAAATGTTGGAGATATTTATTGCAATTGGTTCTCTGACAGCAAAAATTAAGTCCCCTTGTGCAGCACTGGTAATTTCAGGGAGTGTGACCCCATTATTAGTGGAAGCTTTGACTGATGGATCCTCCTGGGTGGGTGTCTGCCCTTTGAGGATGGGTACACACCTGCTAACGATAGCCAGTTATTCTGTGCCCTCGACAGGCTTTGAATAATGTCATAATGCAGTTGGATTTCCTGTGGTCCATGCAAGGAGATAAATGGTGAACAAGTCACATCGTTATTGATTCATGCACCATTTGCCTCTTAGCTCACTCAGAGAAACACAATTACTGCTGTTACACTTCATTTAAAAGAATTGGAACATTCTGGCAGTGCAAACAGCTATTGTGTCTGAATTGATATTCTTCCTGGGCTAATCCTTAATGTGCTGGTTTATGTTTTCCTGATTGCAGCCAAACCAAACTTAAGAGGGTTATAAAGCTGTTTCTTTCCCATTACTTGTTTTCCCTGTGCTGCCCTACAAAACTACAGAGCATTTTCCAAACTCAAAGCATAACATATGCATCTCCAGAATTTATATTATGCGTTATTTTAATAATTGTATCAATGATTGTATTGAATACAGTGTTTTGCAAAATTAAGGCTAAAGCTGGGGTTTGGGCTTGGTGCAGACATTTGTGATTCCCAGCTCTCAGCATTTGCCTTGCCCTGGTTTTGCAGGAGCTGAGTAAATTCAGTCGTTGCCTAGTGCTGGAGGAAGAGGAATGCAAGTGAAGATCCTGTTGTTGTCAGTCAAGTTGAATAAAAAATGGTTTCTTCTGGAGGAATTTATATGATGTCTGAAGTACCATGGTATTACTTTGTGTATTAAGAATGCAATGATAATAGGTTTGCTCTAAATCTGTGTTTTCTAGTTTTCACTGGCAAAGAAATAATCTAATTCAAGGGTCTAATTCAAAAGTCCAATTTGTATCTTACATTGTGTGTGTTAGCTGTGCATCTGTGCTGGCTTGCCTTGAAAGAGCTGCTCTTATTGGGGAAAACATGGGTAAGCTGTGAGTGCACTTTCTTGCTGCTCTTTGCTGTTCCAGGGTTTCCAAAAGGTTTCCACACTGGAGATGGTGTGTGCCAGAGACTGAAATGTTTGGTAGCTTCAACATTGTTAAGATCACCAAAAGACTTTTGTCCACTGTACCAAACTGCAAAGAAACAGCTGCTCATGCACATCCTTCCAGGAATATGCCTCCTAATTTGGACTGCAAAGGGACCTTGAGATAACATAAGGGGAGTACTATTGCCCAACTATTCCAGGTGCATACCCGAATCTACAAACTGGATTTCCAGATAAGGGGAGAGGCAGACCCTTGAGGTGGGATAATCCTTCTTATCATGTACACGTCCTCCCTTACATGATGACTCTGCTGTGAAAACCCCTCCAGGAAGTATCAAAGACATTAAAAGGTACAAGGGAAGGTATGAGGCATTCCCACCTTAGCCTGAGGGTATATAAGTCATGAAAATCTTTGAATTTTGAGGGGGCTTCCCCCACCCCCAACGGATCAAGACCATCACTTCGACAGGACTCCAACCACCATCTTCAACCTACAGACACTGAAGCTGCAATTACCAATTTTCATCACTGGATCCAGCAGATGGTGACTATATATACCTTCCCACTTTTATCCTTTCTTTCTTTTCCTTATACATTTCCTTAAGTGTTATTTTTCTTTAATATTACTGTATTACTATATATGATAACAACCAAAATGGCTATACACCTACTTTCCTTTGAATCCAAATTGTTCTAAAATAAAGCATGCAGATACTTATTTACAAACACCAGTTATTCAGTGTCATTTCACCCTAATCCACCTCAAGGGATTTATTAACAAGAACCTGGGTTACTCTCCACTTCTGGGGTGGGTTGTAGCAGCAGTGCTGGAGAGCACTGGTGCTGCTGGAGGAGCCAGGACAAGTCTCAGGTCCCCACAGTTTTTGTTTCCTGAAGCTGTTTGGTCCTGGTATCCTTGACAGGAGAAAGCAGTGCATGGCTTTTCAGCTTTTCATTTATCTTATTTTAAATAGATGGAGGGGGTGAAAGGCTAAAACAAACGTAGCACACAGTTTCTGTTTTGGCCTAGAGTCCTTTCCACTAAAATTGCATGTTAAAACCAGGATATACAGACATGCTCTATGTTAGCAGAGGACAGTAGGATTTCACCAGGGACTTTATGAGAACTGCAGCTAGGGTTAGGACCAAGTGTCTCATAGATGCCTCATTTTTATTATTTATGGTCAAGGAAAAAGCCATCTACCAAGCTGTTTTCTCAAAGTATTTCCTCTTGACAAAATTATATTTTTTGAGAAGAAAACTCTGTAAAAACTCATGAAAGTTTTACAGTCTACCAAACTTGTAGCCTCATTTTTTGCTTTGTTTAACTTGCTGATATTTTAAGATATTTGACACAGTTATAAGTCTGTATATCTTCATAGGTTTGAAAATCAGGTAAGTCCAGAGTGAATTAACTGGAGTTGTTTCACCACAGCCCTCTCCCCACACTTGTCCTGTCAGTTCAATCTTCATCTGCCCTTTTCTTAGATAAAATGATATAATTTATAAATCCAAACAGTTACTGCTTTAGTTAGAGAGTCTCCAAAGGACTTCAGGATATCTTGGAATACAGATAATACATACATATATATGTGTATATATGTATATATATATATAATGTCTATCTGTATCTATGAAATGTACAGTTCTTACTCAGTAAAGGGTTTGTAAATGTTGTCTGAGCCTAACCTGCACAGAAGGGGTGCAGAAATAACTGTGCAGGCTGTGGGGAAAACTGATGGAGCAGTAGAAGGTACAAGGATAGTTTAGTTTCTAGGTATGGCTACAGGAGAGAAGTGAGGGCAGGAAGACTGAAAGCTTTTTTTGATTTTGGTTGTAGGGCTAATTCCTCTGCAGCAGAGTGAACTTTCCTGTAAACACTGCCAAAAAGAGCTGTCCAACAGCTTGGCTGAAAAGGAGAAGGTAAACTGTCCTTTCAGTGGTAACACTCCCTGGGTTAGCTGTGAAGAAGGGTAAGTGTGTGTGCTCAGAAGGATAAGACTCATGCAAAGAAGCTTTCCAGTGCTGTGTACCAGTGTTGAAAACTCAAGTTTCATGGTGTCAACAGAAACCTTGGAAAACCCAGGAGCTGGTGTTTTTTGAGGCACACTGTGTGCCTGGCTGCTGCCTGAGAGTTTGAGGCCTGAGCCAGGCATGTGACACTCTAGTCCAGGCCCTCTCATGTTACAGATTTTAACAGGGATGTAACTGAGAGTTCTGTTCTGTACCAGTGTTCCCCCTCCCTGTACTTATGGCAGCAGCTGTCTGGTCCTTAGTGCTGGGGGTCTGTTTCCTGTCTGATCCCTGCATGACCATCAGTGAATAGTAGTGAAATTGCTGCAGATACCTCTGCCCAGTTGGCATCTGCTTTTTATTCTGAGCTGTGAAACACTGTCTGGGTCATAGTTATTTCTGTGAGCATGTTATTCTTGTGCAAGGAGTCATGACTACCCCCAAACATCACACTTTCAGTGTACAAACAGGCTCTCCAGTGGAACTGCAGAGAGCACCCAGGGGAGCAGAACAGATGAGTGCTGGAGGTTTTGTGTTTTATTTCCAAGCTCTGGTGCATGTTGGTAAAGAGCTTTCAATTGTTCTGGAGCATTGATGCTCTCGGTGACTGACAGCATTTACTCTTCCTCCCATTTTGTTTATTTATGTTCATAACTGGGTGCAATTCCTGTGTGTGTTTGAGGAAGTTTGAGAAGCAGCAGGATTGGATGAACAGCAGTCACAGCCAGGAGCTGGCATGAGGAGACTGAGAAGACACTGAGCTGCTCTGATAGCCACTTACCCAACTGAACCCAAGGATGGAAGCACAGCCCAGCTACAGGCTTGCAGTGGTCAAGGGTTGCATATACACCTTGTGCTTTTCTTTGTGGTTTTTCTTTGCTGATTGCTTTGTTGTTTTGATGGTTAAAAAAACTAAGCTGTTTTTTAATTCAGAAGAAACCGTGGTGGGCAGCTCACTGTAAGGGGAGAGTTTAAAGAAATCCATCCCAAAGGCTTGAACAAGCCAGGATCCTGCCATGCTATTTTCTCCCTCTTGTATTTGCAGAGATAGCTCTTGTGATGTGCTGATTTAAGCCTTAACCTCAACCTCCTGTGTAATTCTTTTATTGGCTCAGGGAAGGAACAATAATCTGTATGCAACTGGTAGCATGGATGGTTCAAACTCTAGTGATTGCACCCAAATGTTATCTTAGAATGATGTAAAAAGGATGTGTAAGTACCAGGATGACCTAGCATTGCAGCATGGCTGGAAGCTGATGCTCAACTGGTCCTGTGCTCTGAGGCCTTAAAGTTAAGTAGAGCATTTAAAGAATGTACTCTCTTGATCATCCATGTTATGGAAAATTTTTTCTGTGTCTTGAATAATTGATCAGGAAAAATCACTTTGAAGGTTCTCTTCTAAAGCTGTAGAGGGATAAGAGATCTGTTGAGAGGCAGCAAAATATCTGTTAACGTATCTGTTAACATGCAAAGTTAACAAATAACATTAAATTGCCTTCCCATGGAGTTGGTGTTGGAATAAAAGACTGGTATCCCCCTGGGCTCTGTTAGTCAGTCAGGATGATGGGCTGGGAGAGCCCTTTTGATCTCCTGCATTTTGATGCAATCTCCTCCAGATTTTGATGCAGTCTCCACCCCAGAGAAGGATGTGTGTGTCTCAAAACTGCCTGTGCTGTCAGTGGGGTCACGTTTCAGTGTGAGAGCTGGGGATCCAAGTCACTTCCTGTGAAAGATATGTGAGAAAACTTTCCTCCTCTCTTACAAACACTGGAAATTAGGGATGCTGCTGATCTGTAGACTTGTGCCTAAATTCCTTCCTTGGCAGCAAATGCTAATGCAGACTGTTCTGCTAAGAAGTGGCCTTTGGCTATTTATTGTTGTAGCTGGTTTAAATATTTGTGTGCTGCAGATAAGTGAACCAGAGTAAGCAGCAGAAAAATATTTATTTTCTGCCCCTGGAGTTTATGCAAGTGAAATCAACACAAATTAATGTGGAGGACATAGTGAATTTAAAACTGCTGTCCAATCCAGAACCTATTTTCAGGTGACCCACAAATAACATGTGTTTGGTTTGTGTGCCCAGTAGCCTAGGTTTGCTTCAAAAGCATGAGACACTTGCCAGGCACATGGACCAGGGTTGATGTTATTTTATCTCATTTGCCTGACTGATGGAATTGGTTGCATTCAATTCTTTTCATTGAAATGTAGGCAGGTGTGGTATATTTGCATAATGTATATGTTATATAGACACATGTTCAGCCTGAAAATGCAAATTAGACACTAATGGGAGCTAAAAGAGCATTTGAGATTGAAGTGGAGATTTTGGTTAATCCCACTGACCCTGGGAAGTGGGTGCTGGGCACAAAGAGCTAAACTTCTACAAAATTCCCAGAGTGCTAAATGCAACCTTGTGGCTTTCTTACCAAATCTGTGGGCCTACCTAGTTCACCCTTCTCATCTCATGGCTCCTCTCTGGTGTGGGTTTTGCTGTTGTGAGCAGTCTGTGTGGGCCCTGAGCTGCCTGTGCACTGATGGTGATTGGCAGACACAGCACACACTGCCTTTCCCAAGCATTCACACCTCTGTGTCAAGCAAAAGGGCTATGCAAAGATGTGCATCACTTATGTGCCATGCCTTAATTTGTGCAAAATACCCCAAAATAGGTGATAAGCCTTGATTTACTATGCATGCTTGGTATATGTGCTATATTCTATCTTTTGGAATGGCTGCAGCATGTGTTTGGAAATTGCCTGTCCATTTTAACCTCCTTTGGACAGTCCTTGCAGTATTTTTGTGTGAGGAGGACACAGTTCCTAAGGTGGATATTCTCAAGGAAATGCTGTTTTATCCCTTTTCCCTTTTCCTTTTCCTTTGGGGGTGCTGGGTGTTCCTTTCTTATGTGTAGATAGTCTTTGTAATTGTATATAAATGTAATAGAAGTGTAAATATACTTACATATTGTTTTAGCTCTCTTATTTCGGTTCTCTTGGGTTTTTTTCTCTTTTCCCTTGGTTTTTTTTTTTGGTGGGGGGGGAAGCTTTTGCTGTGGTGCTTGGAGACTTGACAGGGAGCCAGCTCCAAACCACAATATCATGGTACCAGGATCGTGCATTTACAGCCCACGTCACGCTTGTGGTCTCAGTGTAAGGATTTTTTTTAATGATTTCCCTGTGAAATGTTGTGGGCTAAAATGCAATGCAAGCTATTTATACTTTTCAAACTCCTCTTCTTGTGAACCCT